TCCATCATCTCAAGCATTAATTATTTACTTGTGTTAGAAATATTCACTATCCTCCTAGCTATTTGAAATTATATAATATATTATTGTTAACTCTACTTAGTAATCACCATTTTGTAGATGGGGAAACTGAGGCTCACAAAGATCAAATAATTAGTGAGCAACAGAGCTGGCGTGTAACCAGGCAGTCTGGTTTCAGAGATGGATTTTAACTACTGACTCCCTTTAAGCAATTTCTCGTTACTAGTTTCAAGCATCATCTTCCTGGGAAGCCTTCCTCTCTTCTTTTTCTCTTACAGGAAACTGCCCTAGGTCAGTTAATAATGGAAATTATCCATCAAGGCCCGTAAATAAGTAGTACCATAAAAAAATTATTCAAAATGGAAAATTTTCTTGAGATAATAAAAGTTTCCTTAAAAAAAAAAAGGTTTCTTTGCTCATTAAGAGTAAAGAACAAAAGCTAGGCTAATTTTCACTTTTTAATAAATTAAGAGTTTATGAAGAAAAGTAATATCCTGTTTTATTACTTTTATCTTGTATAAATGTCCTGACTTTACACACAAATTATCTTTTTACATTGTCTAAACTCCTACTCCACTTCAGAAGAGAAGGATATCTTCTTATTTTGATTTTTAATATTATTTTATTGCCTTTCAAAAATATCTTAAACTTTTTATTAATGAGGTAAGGCTAAGTACTGGTTTTAATTATTTGCAAAAGTTGAAGACTGATTGTAATCGCCCAAAGCCTTTTCTGCTTTAGCCATTTACTTACATGCTTCTCTTTCCATCATGCTTCCAGAGTTTGCAGACTGACAGTCCTTCAACAGGTCTAAAAAACTTTTTAATTTTAAAATACTTCGCATTGAGTGTGCACTCTCAAATTCATCACAGTTCCCCTATATTCTGTATGTGCCTGCTTATCATGTATGTGCTACCTGCCTGGCGCTAAAGCCGCTTCAGTTTACCCTTCTCCCCATACCACCAACCCCCTACTCTCTTCCCTCTGAAAAAGGATATTATGGGATTATGTTCTGTGCATAATTCCTCATAAACCTCATTAGTCCTCATCATGTGCACTGAATTATCATATTCATGAAGTTTTGGTACTTATCTGTACAATCATTAATAGAACCACTTTTTCAGATAGGAAAACAAAAGTTTTTAGTTAGATGGCTTTACAAAATTGCGTAGAAAATAAATAGCAGATACGGGAAGAATCCCCTGTGATGCCCTCCTAGCCCACTGAGGGCAGCATCAGGTGTGGTAAAAAGAAGGTACAAAGAGGCACTGGGACCCTTGGGCTCTGAGCCCAGCTCTGGGTGTGGACAGCTCTCTAAACATTGTGAGCCTCAGTTTCTCTGTAGAGATGGAATGATAATATCACACTGGGTGACTGGAAAGTG